CAGTAACATCCACTATATTTGATTACACTAAGCAAGTATTCAAGCAAGGTTCATTAAATAAATGAACACTCACACTTTACTACTAGGGATCTAGAAGTAAAACGTCTTGACCAAGATCTCATACCAATTAGGAAAACTCAATGCTAATTCTCCAGCGTCCTGAGTTGTCACTAGTATGGCACTTTATCCATTTCTACCATCCTTACCACCATCCAAAGAGCCCACTTCCAACTTCCACGACACTTACAGTTCCAATTCTTCTCCTTATTCTATCATTAAATTATCCTTACTGGTCTCCCAATATGTTTTTCTCTCTCTTTAAGATCATTCCCTAAATGCCTCACATTCTTCGCCTCATTAGTTCTATTCAAATGCCCTAAAGCCAGAAAGGACCACTATCATTATCATTTCACAAATGAGAAAAAGTGTCATGTCTAAGGTTATTTCATCACCTGGTCTCCTGGGCTCAAAATTCATCTTTATTTGCATATGTTGTACCACAGAGCTTCATACTTTTTCTTTTTCGCTGAACAGGATACTTTTTGATAAGACAGATTTTAAAGAAAAAAGTACAAATGATGAAATAAAATGGTATAAAAACAAAGATTTTTTAAAAATAGAAATAGAAAGCCCAGAATGAGTAGAGATCTAAGGGGCAAAGGGAGAGCAAAAATAAGTCTTGTTCAGAACAAGGGCTCAACAAAAGGCCCACTGCTTAGGGAAGATGGAGTATCAAGAGATAATGGGCACTACAGAAGCATTCAGCCTCTCTGCTTTGGTAAGCTTCATCAAGGCCCCCTATCTTCAAACTGCAGAGGGCGGGACACTGATCACAAGGAGCAAACATCTAAGGTGAGAGGTACCGACACGGAACAGTAACAGAGCTGGGCGTTAGTGCAGAAGAATTCGCTTTCTGATCCAAATAAACTGCACCCCGTGATACTGAAAGAACTTTTAGACCTGACTTCAAAACTGCTGCTGCTGACCCATCTCAACAAGGTGCCAGGAGTCTGGAAATAAAAGAACACAGTCTTAATTTAAAAAAAAAAAAAGAGAGATTCAGATGAAGGAAACATCTCCGAGTACATCTGCCATGTACCCCTGGAAAATTCTAGAATGGACAGATGATAAAGTTTTAAACATACTAAGAAGAATAAGTCCCCCTAGGCTCTTTACTGAGACAAGCTATAGGCATTTGCTTTTTTATGGAAACACTAAAATGGAAAAAGGGAGGATGCCACAGACATATCCATAACTGACTGTGATGAGACCACCTGACAGAATCCTGTCATGAGGGGCTGGTGAGCAAAATAGGAAAGACGAGCTGGGAAACCTGTTAAACTGAAGAAGATGCAGCCAGATGAACATCTGGTTGATTAACGTACCGACATCCACTTGGAAAAAGGTCTCCAGTGAAATGTCACAGGATTCCTCCACCTTTTTCCATGTTCTAGACAACGTGTATGAACAAAGCCACAGACCGCCTTCTTCCCGTTTACAAGTGCTACAAGGCTATAAGTAACCCCACTGACAGAATCAGGCTCCAGAAAGGTCAGAAAAGGCTAAAATGAAAACTGAAACTAAAAATCCACAGGGAGTCAAGACCAGTAGTTAGATTTTAAAACTTGAATAAACACATGATGGAGAAAACTTCTGTTTATGTGAAAAATACATGGTAATTAATGTCACTAAAAAACAATGCCCCATCATCTGTCCAGACTGGACTACCACAATGCTATTAGTCAATCTTTTAAACAATGTTTCCACATGAATAGTTACCAGATATTCACCTGAGAAAATTATAGCAAAAATCTACAACCACCATTTAGTTAAAACTTTAATTTTAGATCCAGAATTACTCAACTGTGTCTTAGACTTAGAAAACATTTTATCAGACTAATGTATTGTTGTCTATACAGTAAGGCATTTGGCTGCTAACCAGAAGGTCACTGGTTCATAACCCAACAGCCGCTCCTCGAGAGGAAAATGAGGCAATCTACTTCGTAAAGATTTACATACAGCCTTGGAAACCCTATGGGGGTCGCTCTGAGTCAGAATCCACTCAATGGCAGTAGATTTATATCAGTAATAAATAAATTAATTCCTTGAAAGAACTCTTGGATATTACTAAATCCAAATCCCGTTTTCAAGAGGAAACTAAGAAAACAAAGAAATAAGTGATTTGCCCCAAATTACACAGCTGCTTACCAAGGGCCATGACCCTTTGATCAGTATCCTCTCCCTACACCATGTGGATTTCCAGCCTTCTACTTTCACTGTTTCCTTTCTTAAGGAGCTTTGGTGGTATAGCGGTTAAGACGTTTGCCTGCCAACCCAAAAGGTCAGTGGTTCAAACCCACCAGCTGCTCAGCCGAAGAAAGATGAGGTGATATGCTTCAGTGAAGATTTTATAGTCTTAAAAACCCAGTGGGGATCACTATGAATTGGAATCAACTAGATGGCAGTGAGTTTAGTTTGTTTCCTTTCTTAAACCTTGCACTTCGCACTAAAGAATTAGAAAGCATACAGACATACATTTAACATTATATCTTGCTAAGGACAAATTGGGAGCTCTGGTAGCATAGTGGCTAAGACACTTGCCTGCTAACCAGACGGCTGGCGGTTCAAACCCACCAGCCAGTCCTCGGAAGGAAGGTTGGGCAATCCTACTTCCGTAGTGATACTGCCTCGGAAACCCAAGGAGGGGTCGCTATGAGTCGGGCCGACTCCACTCCACGGCACATAACAACAACAACAACAACAAGGACAAATTAGTTTAGCCAGAACAAATAACCACAGCACATTAGCCTGTAAATTACTTTGACAGAGCGTGATCACTTAGAAGTTTGAGAACTAGTATCTGTTACAAAAAGGCACTCCAATATACAAATTTTTTATTCTTCAGTGTGATTACTTATTGAAGCATTATCCCATATCCTAGTTAACACAAGAAAAAATAAAAAATATTACATGGACAGAAAGCTTTTAATGGATGTCATTGTTTGCTGTGCTCAAAAGCCCTCCCCCTTCATAAAATATACCATTATGCAAATTATTTTAAAATTCCAGGCCTGCAAATCTAAACTGAAGGCCAGAGGTTGTCTTCATTTATGGTGGCAAGCTAAGGCCCTCTAGCTCCCTCCTCACTCCCCCAAAACAATACCCCCAAAGGTCCAAAGGTTGTCCAGGCTAGCAGGGGAGTCCCCGGTGCTACAGCCATCCTCCCGCCCCTCCATCCCTTTGGTTTAAAGAAGACAGTGCAGAACTGAAAATGCATAAGGGGGCAAGTTAGCAAGGATGCGACTTGTTATCACTAGCATCTGCTAGGCCAGCTCCAGGAGGACCCACCCACCCCTAGAGACCTAGGTGCCTCTCCGTGTCCCAGGCCTGAGTCCTCTGGCTCCGCTGGGACCCCCTTTTGAAAGAAGAAGGAACTTTACAGCAGGGATGGCCACCTCCCCATTCTCATCCATTAAAGCAAGCTCTTTGTTTCCAACAGCTAGGGGGTTGGGGGGGAGAGGCGGCCTTGGAGAGAGGGGAGAGGTCACTCCCTCCTCTCCAGTTGCTGTCAATCTCCAGCCTCCAGGCCCTCCACCGACGCATAGGGTCAGTCCCTCAGAACCACTTCCCTCTCCACGACACCCCGTGTCACCACTTGGTACTGCTACACAAGAGCACTCTCTGGGACCTAATTACCTCTTTCTTTACCCAAGCCTTAAAACGAGCCCTGGTGGGGCGGGCGCAAGGCTACAACCCAAAGGTCAGCAGTTGGAACCCACCAGCTGCTCCGCGGGAGAAAGACGTGGCAGCCTACTTCTGTAAAGACTGCAGCTCTGGAAACCCCGTGGGGCAGTTCTACTCTATCTTACAAGATCGCTATGAGTCGGGATCGACTCGACCGTCACTGATTTGGTTTTGTTTTATACCCAATCCCTACACAGGATGACTCCGGAGCCTCCTCCCTCCAAATCGACACCAATCACTCCAAGGTCCCCATCCTCGCCCCTCAACGCACACCCAGGATGGCTCCCAGACTCCTGGCTTTACCCATGCACAACACAAAAAAAGAGGGTAACTTCTTGGGCCCAGGTTCCCTGCCCATATCCAGAGATTGTGGGTCCCTCCAAGCCCCCCAGCGGCCACCTCTGAACTTAAAAGGCCTCACAGTCACTCCACCTCGCCTATCCTACGGGCCACCACGACCCCCTAAGAAAACCTCCCTGGCACATGGTCACTCCCTTGGCCGCCAGCCCCTGTCCCCTGTTCCTCGCCGTCTCCCACCCATGGCGCACGCACACACACAGAATCGCTGCCTGGGCCGCCCTCCCGCCCGGAGCCTCCCGCGTGCACACACCCACGATCACGCCGCGGGCTCCGACCCGCTACCTGCGCCTCCCGACACGCCCGGGCCGTTCTCGGCCGGCCACTCCCCATCCCCAACGCCGGTGCCCAAGCCCGCTCGGCGCGCTCGCGCCCTGCCCTCGGCCCCCAGTCGCCTTCGGCCGCACTCCCCGGGACCCCCACGCCAGGGCCTTGCCCAGCCGGGCCGCGGGGAAGCAGAGGGCAGCGGCGGCGGCGGAGGGAAGGAGGGCCCCGGGCCGGGCTCGGCCAGTCCTACCTGAGCAGTTGATGCTCTTGCCTTTGCCTCCGGGACAGTCGCCGCCGCCGCCGCCGCCACCCGGGGGCTGGCTGGACGCGCGGCTCCCGGGCAGAGAGAAGGCGAAGAGCAGAAGCACCGACGTGTAGCAGCAGAAGGCGAGCGGGGGCGCAGCAGGCAGCCGGAGCGGCGCCTCAGCGGCCGCAGCGCCCATGACTGGCGCCCCTGGACGGCGGGAAGCGCAGGGAGCCGC